TTATAAAACGATCTCTCGAGTTTTATAAAACGATCTCTCGAGTTTTATAAAACGATCTTCGAGTTTTTATAAAACGATCTCTCGAGTTTTATAAAACGATCTTCGAGTTTTATAAAACGATCTTCGAGTTTTTATAAAACGATCTCTCGAGTTTTATAAAACGATCTCTCGAGTTTTATAAAACGATCTCTCGAGTTTTTATAAAATGATCTCTCGAGTTTTATAAAACGATCTTCGAGTTTTATAAAACGATCTTTGAGTTTTTATAAAACGATCTCTCGAGTTTTATAAAACGATCTCTCGAGTTTTATAAAACGATCTTCGAGTTTTTATAAAACGATCTTCGAGTTTTTATAAAATGATCTCTCGAGTTTTATAAAATGATTCTCGAGTTTTATAAAACGATTCTCTAGTTTTATAAAGCGATTCTCGAGATTCATAAAACTGTTGCGTTTACGCGTTTGCGGGGAATTTTGGCTATTGATTCCGTCGTACCGATTTTGACCCCAACAAGACCCTACATCACTGGGAGAGAACTACATAAGGTTGTAAGCCCCGCAAGCAAATCTTGTCGTCCACTGAAACACAAGAGCAGGGCTCAAATTTTGTAAGATCGTCTTTGAACAGGTCCAGTACCTGGGAAGGTGTATCAAGATTCCGGCCTATCATTAGGAAAAGAACTTTCCTCCAGGTTCAAACACGGTTAAGGCCTAAGAAGAACCTGGTAAAAGTTGATTACTGCAGCGATGTCCTGCCCAAGGGAGGCCTGTTCAGATGGAGCAACTCCGGTTGACTCAAGGGAACATGTTATCTCTCGACTCCACCCATGAAACTGAAAGATAAGGGGCAATAAACTGGGAGTAAATACTACGGCAAAGGGGCCAGAGAAAAACATGAACTCTACTTCAAGACATGTTGGCCTTTTGATCCTCGGCTCCAACTAGAGAAAAAGGGAGTGAAAAAATTCGGAGAACACACATTCCAACTACTATTCACCCAAAAGAAAAAGCCAGATTCCCAGGTCCTGGGCCAGCTTTCAAGGTCTGATCTTAGGTTCCAACCCTAGGTTCCGAGTCTACGGCTGCTCATATCACAAGGAGGCCAAATCCAATGAGACCACGATTTTGCCCATTGCCAACAGCAAGCCACATCACTCTTATGATGCCTTATTCCCTAAGGGACCAGGCCCAGCCATCAACGACTTTACGAAGCTAAGGTCCAACCACTTTGCTACAACTTCTCCTGGAAACCAATGTGGCCAACTCCTTGTATTCTTCTTTGCTTTCCATTTCCAAAGGTTACTTTGCCTCCTTTTATATGAGCTACTTCAGCCAGGATATCTCGATTTCCAGTCATGTGGCGTAAGCATCCACTATCAAAATACCAACCATCAGATTTCCTCCTTTGTTTGACGCGTAAACAACATTTTCAGTTTCCGTTCGATCCACCCTCTTCTTACTGTCTATTGGTTGTTTGTACATAGATTAAATGTCACTTCTAGTTATTCAAGCTTTCCAAACTTGTGTCTTTCTAGAAAGCATTTTCCGGATTTCCAAGCTCGACGAATCTTCTTGAACCAATGAAAGCATGTTTCCTTCTAGTGCCCTGATCTTCTACACACGAAGTACTTGTTGAATCTTGATTCACTCATGTTTTGTCTAGAGTATTCTTCCATATTGTCAGTTTGCTCCTTTCTGTGTAGGATCTTCCTTTCCATGCCTTTCATTGCTTCATTTGGAGACGTGTCTTGTGGGAGCTGCTCTCTAGTTTCGTCCAAAGTTATTGTTCCCAACATGACTGATCTTGTACCGGTAGTCTCTCCATCTTGAGAATTTTGATTTGTGCTTTAAGTACTGATATATCTTTCAATAGTCTGAGGTTTTCATCAGTTAGAATTGACAACCTATCACAAAGTTTCTGGCGTTTGTCATCTTCCATCCTTGTCTTAGAGTCTTTTTGTGTCATATCTGAGTCATCCATGTTCTCCAAATATCTCAACCTGTAGTCGATGTCCAGTATTACAGAGGTTGTTCACTCGAATACCAGATGTAAGGCAACATACGCGTTGTTCTAGTCGATGTCCAGTATTACAGAAGTTGTCCAAGGCAACATACACGTTGCTTGATCCCCACGTTATAGTTCAGTGACAACCCTCAAGTTTCTTTTTCCCTTTTGGACGGCGATCCCTTTTTTCTCTTGGAAGGCCTTAGAAAACTCTCAACTTCTTCACTTGTGTTTTATATTTATGTATCCTTATGATCTCGAATAATCACTTTCCTTAATTGTCGCTATCACTCTTAAACTGATATTGCAAATCTCAACTGGTGTACAGTTAGATGCTATTAGAGTCTCATGTTTCAAGCTTTGGTATGTTGCCTTCGTGCACAGAGAAGAGAACCATTGTGCAGAAGATTGTTATTAGTGTCATTCAAGATCAACGTTATCAGTCTTATATTGCAGAATGGTTAATGGTTCCCGGTTGCTGGTTTGCTTGTTATCATGGCAGACTCAAGTTCTTTAGTTTCAGTATTAGTTTTTCTGCTATGAGTTTTGGGTTCACTATATTGTTCTCTACTTCTTTGGAGCTTGAGTGTTTTATTTTGTGCATACGCCTCTATTTTAAACTCTGGTGCTATTTGGTTTAATGAATGTTACAAAGTGCTAAAAAGATAAGTTAAGCAAATTTTAAGTGTGCTTTTTTTGATAAAAAGAAAGTTGAGACTGAACCCAACCAAAATAAAAAAAATGTAAATCGTGACAACAAATATTCATAATTTATCAATATTTATTGTTTAAATCAAGAGCTCTTAGTTCAATGGTAATAGAAGTTTACCTAGAGTGTCCGCTCTAGGTTAGTCGTCTTGCCATCTTTCCACTTATAACCATATGTGTTCGAATGGAAGGTCTTGTGCAGAATAGTCTGGGTTTAAAGAAAAAAAAAATAAAGTTCCTTGTGACCTATCATGTTTTCCCATATTTTTAATTGGAATAGGGTCTTTGGTGGGCATGGGCCGGCCCTGCTTTCAATAAACGATGCGGAGATAGGGCTATGCGGAGACATCTTCATTCTTCACAAGCGTCTTGGCTTTTGTAAACCAAAAGTGGGACCAACTAACCGTGAGACCCGCGTCTTTAAATATAAAATAATAGTTGGTCAACTTATTTGCTACACTTTATTATTAAACGGATTAACATATACATGATCAAGTTGAATAGTTTTAAGTTTTATACATATCTTTTTTCTTCAACATTTATCACATCAGAAGAAGAACAAGAAAAGAAGATCTGACAAGATATCTCTTCAAGCTTTCTCATGGAGAAAAGAAACACAAAGACGTGAGAATAAAATCAAAATTTATACCATAAGTATGTGTATGCTCAAATATGTATCTTGAGTATTTGATTTCTATTGTTTCTGTACAGGGGTGAAGATGTTGAAAGTGTTGATGTTTATACAGCAAACGGTTTGCTTACTGTTGGTCATCGATATCTCGATGTTAGGTAATAAGTACAAAATAATATATCATTTCATTTTTTCCATCTACATATATATAATGTTCTTGATCTTTATGGATGATTGTAGGACAAATGAAGAATTCGCAAAGAGCCACTTTAAGGATGCCTTGAACATTCCATACATGTTCAAAACAGATGAAGGTAACTTGTAAAATTTTGCAGCAATCCCATATTACAAAATTATGACAGTAAAACTTTTGAAAAGAAAAATTATTGCAAATGGTTTGTAGGTAGGATTATAAATCCTGATTTCCTTCCTCAACTTGCATCGGTCTGCAAGAAAGATGACCATCTGATCGTGGTTAGCTTCCATAAATTATGACTTTTTTTTTGCAAATATTATGTTCACATTATTAGTTATGATATGTCACGGACTTGATTCACATGATCTTCTACCTCTTGTAAATTAGTTATTAGTTATGATATGTCTAGGGTGTCAAAATAGGTCATATGATTCAGGGGTTGATGACCCGACCCAAATTGACCCATTAACCCAAATAAACTATTTATTTTTGATTTAATGGGTTAATGGGATAACAGTTTAATATGTTAACTTGTTAATGAGTTGACAGGTTAATGGGTTAACAAGTTAATAGGTCTATTGGGTTGGGCTAACCCTCACCCATCTAGTTTTTAATTAAAATCAAAAAATTAAAAACAAACCAATTAACTCCAAATTAAAGTTTTCCAATTGGAGTGACCTATCATGTTTTCCCGCCAAAACCACAAAACCACTTTTTCCCGCCAAAACCGCAAAATCACTTTTTTCCGCTGAAACCGCAAAATCATTTTTCCCGCCAAAACCGCAAAACCACGTTTTTCTACCAAAACCGCAAAATCACGTTTTCCACCAAAACCGCAAAACCACATTTTCCTGTCAAAACCGCAAAACCACGTTTTTCAACGAAACCGCAAATCATGTTTTCCCACCAAAATCACAAAACCACATTTTCCGTCAAAACCGCAAAATCATATTTCCCGCCAAAACCCCAAAATCATATTTCCCGCTACAACCGCAAAACCACATTTTCCCGCTAAAACCGCAAAATCACGTTTTTCCGCCAAAACTGCAAAATCACGTTGTCCCGGCAAAACCGCAAAATATGTTTTCCGCCAAAACCGCAAAATCACGTTTTCCTGCCATAACCGCAAAACCACGTGTCCTCGCCAAAATCACAAAATCATATTTCTCGCCAAAAACCCAAAATCACATTTTTCCGCCAAAATCACAAAATCACGTTTTTCCGCCAAAACCGCAAAACCAGGTTTTTTCCGTCAAAACCGCAAAATTAAGTTTTCCCGTCAAAACCGTAAAATCACATTTTTCCGCCAAAACCGCAAAATCATGTTTTCCCGCTAAAACCGCAAAACCATGTTTTCCCGCTAAAACCGCAAAATCATTTTTTTCTCGCCAAAACCGCAAAACCATGTTTTTCCACCAAAACCGCAAAATCATGTTTTCCCGCCAAAATCACAAAATCACGTTTTCCTGCATATTAGTTAAATCATGTTTTTCCGCCAAAACCGCTTAATTATTTCTCGCTAAAATTGCAATATTTTTCTTGCCAAAATAGCAAATCATGTTTTCCGGCCACCTAAAATCATGTTTAACACTGTTTATATTAATTGGGCTCCGCGAAAAACCCATTTAAAATGGTCTATTTTGGGTTTGGATAAAGATGTTCGGTTGATGGGTCGACCATTAACCCGTCCGACCCATATAATTTAATGGGTAATGGGTTAACCCAACCTCTTAATTAAATGGGTTGGGTTGACCCATGAGCCATTAACAGCCAACTCATTTGGTTTACGGGTTGGGTTGATCCATTTGATCCATTTTGACACCCCTAGATATGTCACATTATTAGTTATTATCTTCTATCTCTTGTAAATAGCTAAGAAGTCACAACAATATAACACAATTTTTAGGAAGAAAAAAACTAAACAAAAAGACATAAGAGAAATTATTGCTTGTAGAACTGATAGATTATTTTGTAGATACAAGAACAATGATACAAACTAAAGTATAGAGTACACCAGAGAATATATCTACAAAGATATGTATATTTACTAGTATTAAGATGAACTTACAAATATTTCTTTAAACAGAACTCGAAACAAGACCAAAACCTTCTTAACTTGTTACTCTAGCCTCACACTCCCTAAAGTCGAATACAAGACCTTAGAATCTCTCCCCCCCTTAGCCCTTAGTACTTTCATTCGCTTACAACCTTATGAAATCCACTCTTATGCTAAAAATAAAATTTTGGTTATAACTCTAATATATATGTCGTATGTGACTATATATACCCTATAGTCAAGTCGGTTAAACTAGCCATCTACCCAATATTTACCAAATTCCCATTTATGGTAAGTTCCCTAAAACTCCTACTAAGTCTGTAAGAACTCCCCATCATGATATATCCATTCTCCAAAGTGAATCTCTTCAAGCTTGCTCTCCAAGATGTCTTCGTATTAACTTCGACTTGACCACCAATTCATTATTTAATTCTTGTTCTTCACTTCGTCTTGTTCATACACTTGTTATTGTACTTGCGGCTGAATCAAAATGTCCACATGATCTCTGCATCTTCAGTCTTCACTTTTTTAGCTTTGGATGCTCATCAAGTACTTGCACAAATCCGCTCACAGGAAACACATATATCTTGACACATATATCCTGAATAATATGTAAGGTAAGAAAAATAAAATAGTTCAAGACATGTGGACTTAAGAGTTGAGAGAATTACAACACTAAGAAAAAACAAAATCCAAAATTTTCTCTCTCTCACTCCCCCAAAAACATATACCCATGAGATTTCAGTGGTTCTCCCCCATAAACTAAGCCCCCTTATTTCCATCTCCAGCTAGCCCTTGTGGATTCTCTGACTTATTGATACGTGCTTAAATTACCCTAGTTGTTGATTACTCTCTCAAATAAGAGTTTCAGCCATAGTACTTAGGGGTTGAATTCACAGAGAGCGAGGGCACAGAATAGATTTGATATCAACTAAGTTAAGCTAGATGAAGTAAACAAGTAAATATGAAATAGTTTGGTTGTTGAAAAAATAAGGAAAATAGCTAGATTTAGGATTTTCAGGTAGTGAATTATAATGTATAAAACACTAAGGGGATTTCAATCTTAGAATACAATTTTAATTGGTAAAGATAACTAATTCATATATATCTAGATTAAGTTCCGAATATACTACTTTCATATGTCTAGTCGGATTGATTATCGATTGATGGTACGTATGTGACATCGAATGATGACTTTCTTAATTGAGCTTTAAATCGATTAGATTCGTTTATAATCTAGAACAACTAAGCCAACTCTCGTATGTATATAGTATTCTAGGCTCACAGCAGATTATTCAGGTATCGATCAAGCATGTCACTATTCTTGATATCTTAGTTCATAGTTCTAGGTAGCTAATCAAGAACACAAGCATTAAGCAATCTACTATAATAGATCTAATAATAACCTTAGAAATTATATTGTTTGACTAATCCATCAAAACCATTAGTAAACCCTAAATATAATAAGGTAACTATTCAGACATATTAAAGCAATAAGAAATCATGATAATAAAATACTGAATAATATAGAATAGAGATAGAAAAACTGGGGTTCCAATACAAAGCTCCGAATAAGTCTTGATCTTCTCCCCTACTAAATTTGTCTAAAAACTTGAAAGAATGTTAAAAGCCACCATTTTCATAAAACACAAGCAAAGAACATATAAGCTAGGTAAACCTCATCCAAGGGAAATCTTGTAATTTGTTGTGATTTGGGATCCAAATTGGCTGCTTCGCAGATTGGGTTTTCGTATGTCAACTGATGATCGATGGAAAGGGTGCGTCAGCGATCGACGCCCATGCTCTTCCTCGACTCATACTTTGCTAAATATGACCAGCTAGGGGATTCTTCTCTCTTTAAGCTCTGGAAAGACTAATAATATCCACAATGCTCCAAAACACACTTGGACCTGTAAAAGCTTTAAAAATACACACATAGTAGACTCCATATATGGTCTAAAACATGGTCTAAAAGTGATAAATATAAGGATCTATCACTTATCTCTCCCTGCTTGAGAGCATACAAAATTAAAAATCTCAAATATCAAAAATAAGGATAAATTAGACAGAAGACTTATTTGGATGCATCATTCAGAACATCTGCTTCACCACTATTGTCAGAGTCTCCATAGCAGTCCCTAACCTTTGAAGAGCATGCTTCAATTCCTCGAGAGCAATATCTGCTTCTTCTAAGTCAATAGGTTCACCGGGAGAGGTAATCGTTCCTAAAATGATGAGCTGAAACTTTACTGCTGCTTGTGGCAGCCCTTTGGGTGGAACCTAATGTCTGTATGGAGGTCTAGGCACTTTCAGTGATCCAGATGGCTTAGAGTGAGTAGCGCTTGGTGGAGGTCCAGACTTAGGTGCTGTCTTAGATATCAATGCAATTTTCATTTACTTTTTAGCTTTTCTCTGAGCATCTTCTGCAGCTTCTCTTGCAGGTTTTGTTTCTTTCTCTTGATTATTAAGTTATGCTTCACCAAGGCGATGATTCTTTTTGTAATGAATCACAGAGATGAGCTTCTCCTTCGGCTTTATCACCAGCTGATGTTGACTTTGAAGAACACTATATATAGTTCGAGGGAATATCAGTCACCTGTGTCTTTCTTGCCTCCTTCCTTCTGAAGAATTCCAAGATTCAAAACTTGAGAGTAGATCATCTCTTCTACATCAACTAAGATCCCATGAAGCAACTTGTAGATGAGTCATGTCCTATCAACTGATACTGCATTCTTGTGAGACAAAGGAACCCAATTGTATGCTTATAGGATCACCAGAACAGCCTTGCATGGAGACAGGGGTCATGTTGTTAGGTTTTTTCGTCCACGTGTTCCCTTTATCGAAAATTCTGCCAGCTCCTTACTTGAGAGTGCATCAACAGCTTCATCAGCTTCTATCTCATCTTCTGTTAGTGTCTCAAGCTGAAGATACTCGTCGATCACAGTTAGAGAGAACTGGAAGTTCCGACCCCTCACCGAGACTTCCACTCTTTCCTTGGAAGCTCTGGTCATCTCACCAGGGAGTGTTGCATAGAATTATTTAACAACCTGATATACCCTCCTAGTCCCGGGACGATTTTCTCAAGACGACCCTTTTTTATTATCTCCAGATATCCCAAGTGTCATTAGTCTCAAAGTCTAACAATCTCCCAGGTATAATTTCTCGAGATAAAAAGCTTTCGAACCTTTTTCATGCCAGGAGTTCAGTGTTCGCGGATCTGCG